AAGCGCGGGAGGCGAGAGGCCGAGTCAGCGCTGAGCCGAGCCAGGGGGATGGGGCCCAGCCCGCCTCAGCAGTCCCGGGGCTCCCCCGGGAGCGGCCGGCGAGGTGCTCAGCTGCGACCCGGGTGGTGCTGCTGCTGAGTCCCCCTTAGCTGGAAAGCTGCCTGGACGTGCAGGGTGAGGACCGAGCGGCAGGGCGGGGTGCTAGGTTTGTGCAGTGGCAGGGTTGAGCAGAGTTCAGATCACAGACTGGACGGGATGGTTTGGATAGGGATGATCTGGCCTCAGGCTGAGGCTGGACTAACTGAGCTGCGCAGTCCCTTGCAGCCCCACTCCTCTGTGAATCTGTTCTACAAGCAGAGTGGAAGGGACAGGACCAGGCACCTTGCTGACCCTGGATGCCAGAGCTGAACTCTTGTGGGGGTTAGCCGTGCAGACAGAGCGGTGTCAGTGGACATCACAGAACAAAGGCGCAGCTTCCTAAAGCAGGCATTCCTTAAATAGCACCAAGGACACTGGCCTGACTGCCCTGGAGACCTTCCAGAACAGATGGGGCATGGCAGTAACAGGCCAGCTCCCCCATACCACCCTGACCTGACTGGCAGGCTAGGTGAGGGCCTCCTCCAATTCTTGCCTTCTCTCTAGCTCCCCAGTGTTGAGTAGGCCTGTGGGTTGGGTGCAGCAATGGTCCTGTCCTTGATTAAATAAATTGGTGTCAGCTGTTCACTTCCCAGGGACCACTATGAAGCCCACAGTTGGGCTAATTCCAAACCATTGATCCAGAGGTGCAAAATTCCTTAGTTAAGTTCCTTAGCTCCTAGCTAATACCTCAAGCCATTCTGAGCTCCTGAACTGGACTCTGATGGGCTGCATGAGGGGTTGGATTTGTATCTTATTTCAAAATCTGTCACCCCATGGCTGGCCAGGAGCATGATCTCTTGTGGTAATAGGCTAGCGTGTGACCTGTGCCATGGCAACAAGGACAACCTGAGGGTAAGAAAATCACATGCCTTCTATCCATTCCACAGCATGATAACGGGTGTCCCTTCCTTTTCCCTGTAGCGGGAAATAGTCAAATAGTGAGTTGAGCATGCTGCCCACATTAGCAGCACTTTCACATCCTCGCTCTGTGCAGAGAGAACACACGTGCCAGCAAAAGAAATCCTGCTGAAGCATATTGGAGAGGAGAAATGGACAAAGAGGCAGAGCTCAACCCTGGTTAGCCTGGGGTGGTTGGAGCTGTGCTGAATGCTGGGAGGGGAGGAATCACAGGGGTGGACAGAGCAAAGCAGTGGAGAGAAAGGAAATGAGAGCACTGCTGAAGGTAGATAGGGCAGCTAATGGTCAGGCCTCCCACCCAGCTAACAGAGGAGTAATGTCCCTGCTGCACAGGAACACACAGCTGGCGGGCCCAGCATAATGGAATCCTGTGGGCAAGCATGCAGAGACAAAGCTGCACAACTTTTCCCATCCTACTGTGTCCCTTCCATATTTCTTATATGCCTGTAAGTGTCACATGCCTCTGAATCAGATTTCCCTGCCATCCATGTATACTGCATTGTGCTTCCATGCCAGGATTGCAAGCAGTGCATTAAACTGTCACATTCCTGCAAATGCTCTTTGCAGCCATATTGCAGTAGAAAGCTGAGGCCAGGTGAAGTGACTTGCCCAAAGTTGCATAGCAGAGCTCCCACCCTCGGTTCCCTCAGGAACTCTTTTCAATTTATGTTCAATGACGGTGTGTAAGATTCCAACATTATCTAAAAGAATCTTTATGGTTCCAAAGTCAAGTACCCAAATACTAGGAAATGCCAGAATAGGTTCCTGTGCCCCCTTGGCTCAGTCCCTTTGTGTGAATGCATGATGATGTGGTCCTTAATTACATGATCATATACTATATGCCTTTGCTTTGCCTTTGCACCACCAGCCTTTGCTTCATTCAGTGCACAGAGTAGCTGGTTCTCACTGAACGGGTACAAGTTAGTATTCCTTTTTTCTCCCATTTTACACTGTGTGGTTTCAGTGCTGTTGCCTGCCCACCACACAGGCCTTGTGACTGAAGAAAGAATTGTTCATTCCTCACTGTAATTTTTTTTGTTCTTTACAGAGGTTCATGTATTTTCACAGCATCCTCGTGAGGTGCAGTTGATGTATTATTCCCATTTTATGCTCAGAGATTAAAGTCAAAAGTGCTAAGAGCATCAGGTAATTCTGGATGCCCAATTAGAGGTGCCCACAGCCTGTTTATTAAAGACTTGGCATGTTAGAGCACTGTGTATTGAGAACACAGCTCCCTTGACCACACCACTGCAGTTGCAAGTACTTGGCACTTCTGCAGCTTGGAGCCTGGAAGTCTCAGGGTTTATACCATGAAACAATGAACACACAGTGGTCACCTGGGAAAGTTTTTGTTTATGTGACTTGCCCCAGTATCACACAGAATCTC